ATGTAACAGACATAATATAATAGAAGAGAGAATTCTCAAGTTGCTCATTCTTGTTGTACGTAACGTCAGCTAATAAACCATTATCATGATTTATGATTAATCAAGCAATATTATCTGAGAAAGTTTAGCTATGTATAATAATATTTAATGATTTGTATCTGAATTTTGCTGGAATTATTAAACGTAGCCACCGCCTGAAATAAAGAAAAGAATCGGACACAAATAAAAAATTAATTTTATTAGTTTGCAAAGTAAACAATGCAGTATTTGTTATGTAACTTTGAGAACAAGATATAATTTAAAGAAATTTTTTAATTTCTACATAAGTATCAGTTAAAAAAATAAAGTTTGTTTTCAGTATCTCCTTTTAGGGGAAATTCTGAAAATTTTAACCATGGGAAACTAATTACACAAGCTAAAACAGTTGCAACGTTCAACTAAATGTAAAAGGCAATGATGAAATAAATTTGTGATTTACGAAGCACCGCTTAAATAGATTTGATAAATGCAATCAGAAATCGTTGCAATCATTGCTTTATACATCTTCATAGATGCTATCGTGTTTTGCCTCTTATAATTCATAAAAGTTCGCATACATCAGAAAAAAATATATTTTGAATATTTTCCTTCTTGAAGTTTACTCTCTTCTCATCCCTACCGGCAGTTCTTTAATAGCTTCTACTGTAAATAAGTTCTACTTGAAAGAGAGATTTTTACTCGCGGATATTACCTCGTAGAAAAATGTATGTTTAACACGGTTTGAGACTAATTTGTGACGATTAAAATTTTATGCATATATCATGAGAAGAACATTTTATTCGTAACTTTATATTCTCATAATGTCCGAGTAATTCTCTGGGAGCGCCTTTTCATTATTTTTAATATCCGTTTTAATATAAAAAAGTACAGAATAGAATAGAAGATTGAAAACAATTTTTCTCTAACAAATAAAATATTTCGTAAACGTGGCGATAATTTAAGTTCGTATTATTAAATCTTGCACGTAAAATATTAAACATCTAACTTGATAAATCAGAATTATAATATCTATAATGAATATTTTTGTCTGGCAATTTTGTTGTATAATAATAATAATTATATTCTAAATATATCGAAATTAATTAGGACGTTTCCGATGTTAATAATTGATTAGGACTTGATGATATCTCATGAAACACGGATTTCCAGGGCTTTACTTTCAGCTCTACGAGCGTGATTGACGATCTACGCTCATGTTGGATCAAAGAGAAGGAGGTGGGACTTTGATGTACACTGATAATTCATGCGGATCCAATTACACTTTGAAATCGCTCGGTAATTGTTCCAAGTAAATACCCCGGGAGAACTTAACAAAGAAGACAGCGAGCACGCTTTACAGAAATAGTATGAATAGTATGGGAAGCACGCTTTACAGAAATAGTATGAATAGTTGGGAAGTACGATTGATTTCATTCGGAATATCGTCATCCCCGATCAAATCCAAATTCAGCGGAACGAATGTTTCTGACGTTGCGTTTGCTATGTATTAATTTTACCGAAAAGATATCTATAACGATTGATCGTCCGTTTTGTCAACTTTCAATTGCAAATCTTATTAAATGTTTATACTTACATAGTTTATTATTTCTTTAATCTTTAAAAATGTAAATAAAAAATTACAAATATACTGTATAACATGTAAATTAAAACTATTGTAATATAATTTTGTTTTGTTTACATTCAAATATTAATATTTGTTATATGCAATACTAGAATTTGAATTTATATTTGATTAAAGTTCAAAATGCATATAAAATTTCAACATAAGATTTATAAAATATAACGAATATCTCATAATTTTGCTTTTATCTATTCGTTTAGTATCAACTTTATGAAATTTTATTTTTATCTCTTTGTTTAGTATAAATTTTACAAAAAGCACTGTAATGAATAAAATAATTTTGACATGAATTTTATGCAACTTGCTATTTTAAACTAGCAATCTACAACGAGAAAAAATTTGATTCACAACAAGCCTTACTTTCTTATCATGCCAGTTTATTATTCCTCGAGCATGTTCTCTTGGCAGCGTGTGCGCATATATGCATGGATAAGAAGGAAGGTTTGATATTACCTTAGATTCTCCTTAGAATATCTCGAATTACTTTGAACGTGGTTTAACGAATAAATTTTATAATATTTAATAAGAATTTACGAGAAATTTAACTAAAAAATTGCGTATAATTTTTTTTATATTATTCACAAAAAACAATCCCAATTTGAAAAAAGAAAGTAACGCATCGCTCTCCTAAGAGAAAAAAGCTTAATAAATCGAACATAAAATATTTATATTTATTAACATTCTGTCCACAGATTACGTTTGTACAGTTATGTATTTTTATAACAATATTGTTATAAAATACAGTAAAAGTTGTACAATGTGGTTTTATGATATTTCAAAACATTCAATCACGAAGAAATGCGACCAACTCGGATCGACGGACGTTTATTATTTCACGAATTTTTTCACGTACCAACAAATGCGCATATTTTTCTCGCGGCTACTAGGACAGCCACGAAGAACTATGCATGACTCACCGCCAAATTAGAATACCGAGCACGATTCTTTTTTTCTTTCTTTCACAAACGTTGCCGGTCGGTTACAGGAACCGAAGTGACATTGACTAATGAGCTCGCATCGGGCATTCACGGGCACATGCAAATGCGTTCTTGGCTACGTCGCGCGAATTATAATCCCCGCACGGCCGTTTACGGCCGGTAATTTGACGTGCGACGAGCCACGAAAGGGCCAGCAAGACTTCCTTATCCTTCCACTGTCAAGAGGCACTTACCATTTTAATCGCGACTGAATTTCAACTAAAATCTTTTTAATCGAAAAAATTTAATATCCTTATCATATTAATAAAATACGGAGATGTATTTCACAATTCCTGTATCAGAAATTTATAATGATTATCACATGAAATAATATCAAATTGAGATAAAAAAAAAAATTTCAAGTATAGATACTTTAAAGAAGAATATTAAGTTAGAAAATAATATTATTCATCAAGCGTAATGCTATCTTGATATCTGAACCATTTTTCAATCCTCCTCCTCCTTCTTCTTTTCGCTCGATTTCTTTTTTTTTTCAATTCTTAAAGTAAGTTTTATAGTGAAAAATTCACAAGCCAGTTTCCACGGTAGGAATAAATTATACACGTTTCAAGAAAAATTACATCGTATTTTTATAACACGGTACCTTCTTTTCTACACTTTCCTTTCTTTGTTAAGGAGGTAAAAGATGGTTACGATTAATGTAAACGAGGTATTCCGCAACAAAGTAATACTCGGTTATAAGAATGCTATTTGCCAACAAAATGTACACGTATGGGGTACATGTAATTTCACTCGAGTAAAAAAAATTGGAGCATGGAGTAACACCGCGATGACCGACCATGCGTTACTTTTTCATCGCTCTGCGCGAGAGCGGCATAAGCATGTAGCAAACTCTTCCCCTGTTAACATCTCCCAATTCGCGTGCAACTTTTCGCAAAGAATGTTATTGCGGCATTGCGGCACCGCTGAAAAGATTCGAAGATTTTCGCGAAAAGAGTTTGTACACAAGCGTGTGTACTCACGCTCAAAAATTCAACGACGCTGCAAATATTGTGGCCAGACGCATTTGCATTCTACACAACTCGTTCTACACAACGTTTTTTTTTTATTTTTTTTAAATTGCAACGAAAAAATAAAATTCTTGATTAGTTTTTCAACAATGTGGCGGACCGACAGCGTAATCGACACTCGCATAAAATTATTATTACATTTCGAATGTAAACGAACAGGTAAACGCACAGGATGAAATTACGTCTTGTATCACGGCGGTGACCGAAAAAATTCAAGTTTTCGTTCTCAGAAGGATAACGTCCTGCGACGTCATGCTCGAAATACGCTACAGTGATGTCGCTCGTTAGTTGCTGTCGACAGTTTTCACAACAGTTTCTTTCGCTATTCTTCGTGACGCACCGTTCCCGAGGAGAGTGCCCATTAAAAATGTCGAGAACGAAATTCAGTACGAATCCTGTCCTGGGCAGAAGGAAAGACCCTACGACGACGTCATTTTGTTTAAAGCTGTCGCTGACTCGTTGCTGCCGAGTCACTTCGAACCTCGCAAAATAAAATAACTTCTTCTCAGAGAAGAACGTTCTGCGCTCATTATACGCTATTGTGCAGCAAGCTCCGGATAGATCCTCTACCAAACACGTTATTGCACGGTCCGTAATATCAGTTTTTCTCACTATTCTTTTCAAGGATTGCAACGGTGAATCGCCGCCAGCTACACTTTCTCGGGTAAATGCTCGTACAATTTTATTCGTTTAAATAAGTAATTACTTTTCTCTCTGCACGACTAGATACTCTATAACCCTTACCGCTCTTTTTTCATAATATTATATTGTTGTAATTCAATCATCAACTTGTTCTATTTGCAAGCTGGAAACGTCAGAATGTGAAATGTATCTCTTAATATTTGATCATTAAATTAAACTGAATAACCATATTTAAAATTATAATCCAAGCTATTATATTTCTCACGAAAATCAGTAATATATTTATAATGACATTTATTTTCATAACAGATAAATATACTATTAACTTCACCGGCCAAGTGAGATTTTAAACAAAGTTAATATTTTGATTGTAAATTTTGATAAATAAATTTAAATCTGCAAAAAGTAAATAAAATATAATCCGACTACTATCATAGTAAAAACTTGTCAAAGCTTTCAACACAAATATGCAATAATTTTTTTAGATTTTCACAGTTTGGAGCAATATAAAAATTTGCATTGAAGTTAAAGACCCAGATTGCTGATGGAAGATGCAAAATTTCACGTAATCAATAAAGGGCTAACTACGTTTAAACAAAGTTTAGCTTTTAAAATGAATTATTAGCTATTACAAGACACATTTTGTCATTTCATGATAGTAAAATTCAAAAAAGAATTTCTTTTACTCACCGCAGGTGTACACAACTTTAAGATACGTTTTGCTGTCTGGACTGCAAGGATCTGGTCTGCCAAATGTTGTGCTATTAGCTATTACTGTGCATCGTCGTTTACCATGGCATAATTGCATTACAGTTTCCGTTGTAAAGTCCATCATGCAAGCTGTAACAGTAACAGTATAATAATAATAATAATAATAACAGCTACAAAAGATGCATTGTATAAGGAAATAAAATTGAAACAATTTCGTATTATTGATATTTTTTTTCTTCACAAGGCATTTTACGCGAAATTGTGAAAGAAATAACAAAGTTTGTATATTTCGCAATTATATATGATATGATACTCTATAAAGATAAAACAAAAGGGCTAATTGGTTCATTCTATGTATGTACAAATTTACAAAAGTTAAAGATAGAACTTTCATATGTATAAATTTCCATCTTTGCTAGAGTAAAAGTCACATAAAGATTATATAACGCAAATATTATACTACTTCTGTGTAATTAAGTCTTTAATCTGAGACAAGTAGAGGGAGGATCTGCTGTTTCGAACTTGCGTTCAAATATTTATACAATATTATACATTTATAAAATATATTTTATAAAATATCTATATGAGATTTAGCTTACATCGTTTATGATTTAAGGAAAACACTGCAAGGTATTGTTTCCGTTATTAAATAAGATTTAGAAAAGCTGGTCGACAATGCATATCCGCGTCAAAGAAGGAATAAGAATTTATCGATCCGACTTCACGTAGAATGACAGAAAAGACGGAATCCAAGGAAGAGCAGGAAGTCTTCGGAGTTTCCGATACTCTTTTGTGCAAGAAAATGTACGTATCGCTCACGTCCTAAAACGTGACGACGAAACGTATCTCGTTGAAGGCATATCAAGGCGACCACAAGCCATTCATGGCAAAGAAGCACGAAAAAGCACTATTATAACGCGGCACCATTTCATAGATTTTGTTCCTTATTGTTGCACTCAAGCGGCAAGCAACCTTTCAACCCTTCGCGTTAAAAGATAGCTCTACGAGTTGGTGGATGATGACCGGACAAGTGGACCAAGGAATTGTGCGGGATAGAGAGATTTATTGGATCATCGTGGACAGAGCCGAGCTATTCATACAACTGTAAAACCAGAATTTTTTTTGCCTACAAAAGGAACGGAAATGATATTTTCCTTTAAGAAGAGTAAAAGGAGCAAATAAATAAAGTCTCTTCTTATAAAGTTAAGAGTAACTAATTTTTCTTTATCTAATTTTGTCTCCAAAATTAGTTAGCTGTAACTAATGAGGTCGTAAGAATAATTCTATTGTTGTATATACGCAGGTTATACTAATTTAATACAATAAAAAATTACTTCAAACCGGACTAGTATAGATTTTTAATACTAGTACAGATTGTTTCGTATAGATTTTTAATACTAAAAACAGTGCCACAAGCCAAAAAATTCCAGCACGTCAGATTTCCAAAATAATTGAGATTTAATTTTCAAAAATGGCTTTTTTAACTATTGCGGTATCGTTTTCAACATCCAAAAAGATATAAGAAACATTTTTTTTGTTTAAAGTAATTTAAAAAAAACATTTTTTAAAACTAGTGTTATTATATTAATAATTAAAGTAATAGAATTATTATTAAAAGATTAAAATTGAAATTAAAGGAACAGCAAAGACCGATTAAATGAATAAGAACATCCTTAAATGTATACGTAAACAACAACGTTTCAATATTTCAGAATTAAATGTATCGTTAAAGTATCAGTAGTGTGGTCTTCATTGTGAACCGTTCTCGTTTATGTTCTCTCGTTCGGTGTTCTCTTCGTGCGCTTTCGTAGGAATCGATTGATTGGACAGGACAAAAAGTCGTCATGGGAACGCGAGCGGTCGACCGGAGCATTCATTCGCGAGTTAAAAGAATTTACTTCGGAAAGTTAAATAAAACCACGTCTTAAGAATAAGAGGCAGGCAGCTCCTTCATTCTTCCTGAATTAAAAGTAAGCGGCGTGAGCCTCTCTCGACGCGCGAACGTGAATAACAAGCTTTCCCGATATCAAACGTCACATTTAGCGCCCAAATGCATCTGTCGGTCATTGAATTATCCCGCTCCATTTGGAAAACACTCGACTTCTTTTTTTAAAGAATACCCTGCGAGAAAACTCACTTTAATTTTCTCTTCCCACATCACTCGAACCTCATCCGAAACTTCGGCAACCACGGAAGAAAGAGTCGCAATCTCGTCGCCAAGTATGACAATAAACTAGGACAAACATCGACTCGAACGCTTTTCTGCAGAAAAACTCATCGACAAATAGAAGAAATGAACGACAGAAATTATTGATCCTCGTTATATCGCTAGAAACTAAGCGTTCGAAAAATTCTACACAAAAGGAACGATTTTATTAAATCTAAAAATTTAATTTATAGATATAGATCAGAAAATAAATTTTGTTGAGCTATCAAAATAAATATGTAGGACGTTCAGACTGGTTGCTAGAATGTCAAAACTTTTTGTAACATACATCATGTTTCCTAGAAAATTATTTTGATGGTCCAACAAATTCTCAGATCTGTGTATCTAGCTGAAGTTTTAGATACTTTAACAAAATCGGTTTTTCTGTACAGTTTTATATTATATATTAATATAAATAATCTTTACTAGGTCTCTTTCTGTTTAGCGTAAATGAAAAAATTGACAAAATGATTGATGATGCGATAAGAACAATATTGATATGAAAGCGTCAAAAGTTATTCGAAAAACAAGAACAACAGCACTTTGATTACAACACTGCTTCTTATGCTTGAATTTTCTACATAATTATTTACATGGTTTAACAAAGTATCTAAATCTTTAGATATTTCAAACTAAAATCTGCTTTCACATTGGAGAAAGTTAAAATTTTTTGATTGATTTCTATAGTTGAGAATTCTAATTAATCAAAAGCTTCTGGTTCATCCATTTTCAACCAGAAATTTTTCTCAGTGTGCAGCAAACTCGTTCTTTCCGTGTATTTTGTCGTGCAAAATTTCATTTTAGTATTTGTACACAATGTAAGTATAACGGATATCATTACTTTAATAACACGCGAAATTTATCTACGAATATAAATACTTAATCAGCTGTAATCTCGGAAAATGTGATCACTAACTTTTCTTACGAAGCGAATGACGTACATAACGACGCAACATAAAACCAAGATATCGAAACATGAAGAGTACGCGTTCACGTTTCGATAAAAGTTCACAGTTTTATGTTCGATTACGTATTGCTTTAATAACAAGTAATACAATGTTAAATACGCGTATCACAAATGTCACATAATTTCGATGAAAAAGAAAGAATTAAAAAAACGAGTTATAATAAATTATAAATTATAATTAATGGAGAGACCCAAGATGTTGTTAATTAATGACGGTACTTACTTTCTTCTTGTACGCCCAGTGGCTGCGGACACTGCAGCGACTCGTATTGCGTTCTACCAAAGGCAGCACTGAAAATCGCCACCCTCTGGCCGGGATGGCAAACGAGATTGACGACTTCGTTCTCGCAAGCCACCTTACTCCTGAACTCATCTGAAACCACAAAACCAGCTTTTAATAAAGCGACCATCGCGCTATATTGTCGCCGTTGTCGCCGCTGTGCAAAACGCAATTATGTTCGCGACGCGACGCCGGTTTATGAATATACCTTATTAGCGAGCAACCATAATGATTGTATCTCATTGTTTTCGCAACACAAGTTAAAAAAAGATAAAGAAAAACTTCCTATTTTGTCGGAAATTGAGCCGAATCATGAGTTCCGGGAATGGATCTCCATAAGAAACACGATCGCTTTCTTACGAACGGGCGTTCCCTTGGGGTGAAAGGACAGACGTTGTCTACTCGTCTCGTTACGATCGTAACGTTGCATTCGCGAATTTCAATGAACCGGAATGGCTTGCAGCTGCCGATAGTACGTTTTTGCATTTCTCTCCCTGCGGGGTGCAGAGATCGCGTCGCATTGGGAAATTTCTTGCGATGGACGTAGTTTTTTGTGAGCTTACGGATTGCTGACGCTTGATCTTGCGTCGATATATTATATAATCGTGAATATCTGATATACAAGGTAAATCGCGATTCTTGTCAATTTTTAAATATTCTCGTATTTTAAATATTTTTTCTAAACAAAAATTTTATCGCAAATGTTGTTCCTTTATTTCAAAAGTGCTATTAATAATGTTAATTGGTGGAACCCTTTAAAAAACAATTATACTTATTCCTATATTCTTCAAAAAAAAGCTTATCAAATTTTATAATCCGAACTTTCGAGAAAATTGGAGTGCTAATTTTTCACATGCCCCCAAAAATAATACAATTTAAAAAAAACATAATTTTCGAGTTGTTACCATAAATGATAATTAAATAAACATTACTCTATTAATCATCAAAAGTATTAACTTTATGAAAAATTGTCGTAACATCACAATTCAAAAAGAGTAATTTTTTAAGAGTTGTGTAACGAAAATGACAAAAATGCCAATATTATTTGATTAGTCAATAATTGTCTGTCAAATTTGAAAAGAGATTTTTCCCTTTTCTGCAAAATTTAAAATGTGCAAGTTTTAAAATGGGTTACTTTTGAAGTGAGAGAGTGATATGTACTATACATCAATTAATATTAACAAAAAATTATGATTAAGTTATTTGCCAGTTAAGGAGATGATGGACCAAGTTATCGATATTACAGTTGTATAAAATTCTCTGAATTGATTGAATGGAATCAAAAATTCTTTTACAGGATTAAAGTAGACGCAAAATTAGATTTTGGTATAAAGTCCATTGCGCCACCTCTTAATTTTACATTTACTTTAATCCTGTAAAAGAATTTTTTATTTTGTTCAGTCAATTCGGAGACTTTATACGACTGTAATATCGATAATTTGATTCTAGCATCCCCTTAATCTTATGAAAATGCGAATTAAAAAAGCCGAGTAGTTTAGAGGATCAAAAAATCAACGATTTTTTATAAATTTTTTAGAAAAACAGTTACAGCTATCAATTTTAGATTTATATCTATATTTTACTTGCACTTTGTACAATATGTATGAATTTTATTTGAACCAAAATGTGTTAAAATGTCCGAGAGATAACAATGGCAGCAAACGTGTAATCCAAATGAGATTTTATCAAATTGCTGACATTGTGCAGCCACAACTAGTGCTCTAAAAATAAAAAATCAAACTGATTTGTAATTAATGATGTTAAATGTATACAATAAACCTAAAAATTATAAAAAATCGCGATTTGTTAAAATTACTTCTTTATAAAAAAAAAAAAAGTTCTTTTTTATAAAGATCATTATTTTTCCCATTGTCAAAAAACTATTATTGTTTTGAAAAATTTATTATTTTTTTCAGATTTACTGTATGGAGAAAATAGTTATAACGTGTAAAAAGCGTAGATCAGTGCGCCATTTTCTCTCTACAATGTAGAGAGCAAATTTGAAAAAACACGTTTCGAGAAAAGTGCGTTGAAAGTTTTGAATTAGAATATTTTTGTTTTTTTAGTACTTACAATAAATTTTTTTTTTTCAACGATTTCTGGGTCATAAAAAAATTTATCCTCTTCATGAAACTTCATGAAATATTTCGTTATTCAAAGAAGTAACAGCCGTACGGCGTGTCGCGACGGATCGAAACTCAAACGCGTCTAATTTTTACCTATGCACCATTACAGTAAACAGTGAATAATTCCATTATTCTACGTATTTCTATGAACGATTTTAGCAACATATTTTCAAGACTGTTAACTGTCCAAAAATGTAATTTAAAAAAAAATCGATTTTTTACCTTATTTTTTATTATTATTATTATCGACAAAATATTCATATTTGACAGATCAATTTCCACAGATTTTATATTTTTCGCTAATAAAAATCGTAATGCTGGCTCTCTTTTTAAAACGGCCCCATTCTCTTGAAAACTTAAAAAGCTTTATTTTATTATCTCTCTTGCCCTCGTAAACTCACAATTAAACGTGTTATTAAACGCGATCCTGTCGCAGCAATAGGCAATAAAAATTCCGGATGTTGTCCGGTGTATCCACCCGTGTTCGAGTGCAGCGAAACACCGTGGTAACTCGTTGATGTATCGCGGTTTTGTTGCGGAAGAACAAGTTTGACCATAACCCAGCGATCCCACACACCGGGCAACATCTTTTCATACCTCGATCATGTTTCTTAGCCACGCACGGAAGTCGGCGGGTGCACTTATGCTTGAGATAAAGTGTTATGCCCTGCTTTATTGAGTTGGCAATTTACGGCGGTTGCCATCGCCAGCTTTCGAACTTGTTCCACCGGTGAACCGAGGCCAATGGCTACCACCGCGATTTAAGGCAAAATTACGTGCAGCGTGAGGCCGTGCACACATTGTTTGACGCGATAGCTTCATCAGCGTGCCAAAACCACACACAATAAATGATATCAGCTAATCCTACCAATCCGCTATATCAGCCAGTTTTGTCTTTACTTCGTACTACCATAAACATTAGCTGACCTACATCTAGTTTCATTTTTTTCTATCCCATATTTTCGCTCCTCTGACAAAAATATCGCGTTTTCTGGATTCATACATATTTTTCGTTTTCTCTCTAAGCGTGTATACAATCTGCACCGACCTTTAACTAACAAGGACAATACATTGCGCTGATACAGTTTTGTTATGGCCAGAATTACTAATTTCTATATTAAAGGACAGAAAAATTGTAAAACTGTAAATTGTAGCTCTAAAACTCTGTAAATTTAATTTTAGTATAATGAAATAAATATCACTCTCATTTATTTCCTTCAACATGCATATTCTTCTTCTTCATACAATTTTATCAATATAAAATTCAATTAGCCTACTTTCAATATTATATTTTAATATTTTCTATTCAATATTCGTTTACACTTTCAACATTATTATACTGCAGTATTTTTAATTCCAATCTTGATAAATCGTATTTTTTTCTAAATTTATATATATTTTCCATTTACACTGTCTCATATACGGCTAGTAAGTACATTTAATCTAAACTTTTTAATGAACAGATATGTTATTATTATTTTATTAAAACAAAAAATTCTCTCTTCTATAACAGTAATGATAAAAGTTTGTATTGTTCTCATCTGTATATTTCAATCATGACACTTATCCCCCGAAATTAGCGTAAAGTACCTAATTCTTCAGACTACATCTATAGCATCCGAAAGTTAAACTAATCTGAATTAAGTATTCCTGGCCGTAAAATAAAAGATAATGCCATCGTGATACCATAATACTATAAAGGTCAACTTTAAAACGCGGAAATGGTCTACTCTTGTTAATACATACAATCTTCCATATTATCCACGGCGCATAAGATTATGTCGGTTCACGCGTTCCTAAGATTTTCTTACGGAAAATAACATCCGTATCGCGCTGTTATGACCACGTTACATGCAAACTAAAAATCGCTGCGCCATACCTGCCGGAACTCTCTCGAGGTTCGTAAAAGTGGTCGGCGCTATCCAACGGACATATCAAAGAACGGGGCCGTCAATGGCCCGTGAAATTTCGCCCGGAAGCACGAATTCATGGTATACACGAGAGAGATCGCGAAACTTCCTTATTGCCGTGAGATATTCCGTAGAGCTCCATAGAACAAGAGAAAAGGAGAGAGAGGGGGGGGGAGAGAAGAGAAAGAGAGAGAAATGTCCAGTCTGGGGTTTTAATTGGCAAAAAAGAGGAAGCACCGCCATGGCGAAGAAGAGTGGTGGAAAGAGGGTTGAAAGGGGAGAGAGGTAATTCCCTCGACGGAGGACTACTCGGAGCGACAATGGAGCTGGCTCCTCGCTTTTTCAGCAAAAGGCCGGGGCTTCGATCGACCTACTTTTCCTGACATCGATGGAATCTCTAGTTTCCACGTATGCACGTGTGTATGGAGCGAGGGTGAGAAAGGAGGTAAACGCGAGCGAATACGTGCCCTTCTCTTTCCGACAGGGCACGTCGGTACCCGGAGCGGCCCGTGTACGCCGAATGGAATTCTTTTCAAGGTACGTCCGGCCCTTTTTCGAACTCTACTTCGGTGCGGTGTGGACGCGGAGAAAGAATACGTGTCGAGGGTGACCGACAAAGCCAAGGAGCTGATAAAGATGGTCTATTAAATCCTGAGCTGGGTGAATCGCACGTTGTGTGTAATAATTATCTCTGCAAAAGGATTGGAATTAAAAAGTAGATTAAAAAAAACATACGAAAAGTAATAAAAATAAATGAACTGGGACAATTAGCTACAATTACACGCTGCGAATTGCACTGGCCGACAATGATTTTGTTAAATGAATAATTTCGATTTTCATTGTATCTTTTATGCAGATTTTGGAAATGAGATTAGAATTTATCCTACAGATTCCAATTTTTTATAATTAATATAACTCTTTCTTGAAATTTATATATTTTGCTAACGATAACTAGTTGTATGGAATCATTTTCTTAATTAAAATTAAGAAGCAATAAATTAAGAAGAAAAAGAGATAAATAAAATAAGTTTTTAATGCGTTTTTTACTCAAAAATTC